CCTCCTCTTCTCCTTCCTCTTCCTCTTCTTCCTCTTCTTCCTCTTCTTCCTCTTCTTCCTCCTCCTCCTCCTCCTCCTCCTCCATCACCATCCCTTCCTCCATCTCCTTGAACCAGGGACGGTCCACCAGCTTCTGACTCGGCCTCTTCTTCCTCCAGGCTCAACTCCCCAAGCGGCCTCTGGAACTGAAAGCCTCGCCGAAAAGCAGCCCGAAGTGCTCGGTGGTGTAGCCGGGGGGCCCACCGGCTGGGACATGCCCCGTCACCCCCCTCCTGTCCCGGCCATCCGGCTTGCGGGGGGCCCTTTCTGGCCTTTCCCCCATCCTTCTCCCACCCTTGAGACTCCGAGTCCCTCCGGGCTGGATCCCGAAAGGGCTTGGAGACCGATCCCCCTTCTTCTTCCGTGGGGGGCTCCCTGCCTCTTAACCGTTGCACTTGCAGAAAGGGAGGGAGGCGTTTTGGGAGGGAGGGGTCCCAGAGCAAAGGGAGACGTTTAAAAATTGGGGAGGGGGTTCTCACTGGGGAAGTCAGCCCCAAATCCCTGGGACCACCAGACACTTTAGGGGATCCACGTTCACTTCTGCCCGGGGCCCCGTTGCTCTGCGGCGTCTTCAACAGCCATAGGAAGGGCTCTGATTCGCACCCAGATCTTCCTACAGGAGAGGGAGAAAATCTTTTTTTTTTTTTAATTGCTTCTGCCGGCCGGGATTCTCCGCACTTTGGGTGGGTGGAAGCCCGGAACGCCATCCGGCACCCGCAAGGACACCGTCGCGCGTTGGGGGATCGCTGGCCTTTTATCCATCTGTGAAGACTATTAAATATTTGCAGTTTTTCCGGATATCGGTGTGTTGAAAACTGATTCTCTCAATTCACCGGGGGGGGGGAGTCTTCGGTCGTTCAGGCGGGCACTTCTGTCTCGTCCCTTGCAGAGGGAGGGAGAGACTCCCCCAAACCCTGCCCATGTGCCCCCCAAGCCTTTCCGTGGCCCCCATCCTCCCTTTACTTCATCTTCCCAAACCCCCTTTTCCAGGGCGGCCTATGAGACATCTTGCAACCTCTCCGTTTGCAAGGAGGCTCTTTTGCCAAGGCTTTTCAGGGGTGCCCTGATTTTCAGCAGCGGCACCCCAAAACCTGCCTTTTGTCCCAGCTCCTTTGATTGCCTCTGGAGGACGAACGGGGCAACCCTGGGTGAGTCTGCGGGGCCCCGATTTCCCTGGCTCTCAAGCGTCTGCTCCTGGCCTTCCCAGCCACTGCCAAACCTTCAAAGGTTGGGGTTTTTTTCCCCCCATTTGAATCTTTTTCTCCTCCTGGCTGCCAACATGGGACCGCAGAGGTTTAATTTAAACTTCCAAACAGCTTCGCCCAAAGTTGATGGTTAAATAGTCAGGGAGCCTAGCGATTTTCATTTCTCTCATGTTTTTGCCCAGAAAAGTCCTGGCACTTAAAAAACGCAGCATCTTAATAAAAGAGTCAAAAGGAGCGTGCTTAATTTCCCATTTAACACGCAGGGCATCGAGGAACGTGCCTTTCCCGCATTTCCACTCGGATGCTCCGATTGTTTTTCCCTTTCAAAACTTTTGCTTTACTGGGATCTCTAGGTTAGATTTTATGTTCGGAACAACACAACGGAACTGATTCTGTAGTATCCAGAGATATTTAAGGAGTAATTTTGGGGTGAGGAAAAAAAAATAAACAGTGAAGAAGTTGGTTTTTTTTTTCCCCTTCTGGGAGGAAAAACTTTACTATTCCCAGGTCCCCATTAGGGGATTCATTGAGTTGGGAGGAGCCTAAGAGGTCATCAAGTCCATCTTTCTGCACACTTCAGGATTCACTACGCCATCCCCAAATCAAGACTTTATTGGGGAGGGAAGGGAAGTCTTTCTCAACAATGCAAATGCTTATATGTATATTCATATTTACTTACTGTATATAACCCAATAGATATATATGAATACCTATGAATATATATAGATATATATAGGAATATATTGCGTGTCCCGCACCACCCTCTTCGTCCCGGCTGCAATTGGAGACCGGAAGTGTCTCCGGTGAACCAAACGGACTGAGCCCTTTGCGTTCCCCTCGCAGTCCG